CCCCCCCCTTTCTCTTCCTCTATGCTCGTTCCCGGAGAGCCTATAACGCGCACGACGTGCATGCGCTCGCTCCCGCTCCGCTCGGCTCCGCCCGGCTCCCCCGCGGCCGGGTGTAAGCCGCTGGCGCCATCACAATAATAATGCGATAGCCAGGCCAGGCCGGGCCGGGCTACAGGCTACACCACAGGCGCAGCGCGCCGTTAGTATTAGTGTCTAGGCCAGGGCAGGGCCGCTCGCGCACAGACACAGAGTGCAAAAGGTTTCACTGCTTGGAGAGCAGCAGCAGCAGCAGCAGCAGCTGGCAGTGCGGCAGGTCAGTTGCGGGTATGAGCACTGATAGCAGCACAGCCAGCTGCAGCGCTGCAGCAGAAGCAAGCAGTCAGCACTGCGACGACGGCACTGCGCGACCATGGCGCGGCGCGACCTTAGCGTAAAAGGGGGACAAACAAAATCATAAAGTTTTTGCTGATCCGCGAAGCAATATAAAGGAAGCAGCCGCACCATATTGAAGCGGGGGAGGACAGGAGGGGAAGGGGGAGTACGCCGAAGTATAGTATAAGGAAGGGAGCAAGGAAAGAGAGCGCGGAGCCAGGAGGAGAGGAGGAAAGAGTTGAAGACAAAGTTTCATACTCGATTTGGCCGCTTGCAGTGCGGCGCGCGGTCGCGTTGCTGCAGCCCGAGTGCGTACGCCGGATACACATTTTCATAACGGCAACACTCGAGACAAAGTCGTATGCGAGTGCGAACGGAGACGCCGTCGTAAAACATGTATATCTGCTGCGATCAATGCGGGAAACTACTATACTGGCGGCCGAGCTACGGCGTCGTCGTCGTCGTCGTCAGCTCTGCGGGGCAAGTCCCTTTCGGCTGCGTCAAACGCGCTTCATGCCCGCTCGTAAACGCAGCGACGTCTGGCTCTCTGGGTGCGGAGCAAGCAGAGCAGGAGCAGGGGGGCCCGTGACGACGACGGACGGGACGACGACGACGCGGTGCCGCCAGCTCAGGCAGACAGACAGATGCGGCCAGATGGCCCAATCCGATGTGGCTTTCGTCTTAATGGTCCAGGCGGGGCGGGGCGGGGCGGGGCCGTGCCATGGGCGGCGCTGGGCGCCCCCCGAGGGGGCCTAATTCGACCACTTATTAGCCAATCAAGACGCCTTTGTCGAGCCTGCCAGCCTCTGCCCTTTCGACTGCTAAATGCTCCCGCCGCCGCCGCCGAGCGCGCGCAACCACAGCCACGGCAGCCGCGCGGAGGAGAGGATCACGGCCCAGCGGCAGCAGCGGCTGATTAGCTGGGATGAGTGATGACCTGATAGCGGGGGGGGGGGGGCGGGGCCCGCGGGGCCAACCCGGGGGTCAACCCGGCGCGGGGAATGCCTCATCAGGCGTCGGATCACGCACGGCACGGATCCTGCCGGCAGCGCGCACTATGAGAAATAACGAAGCACGCGCGGGGGGCGGGGGAGGAAGGGAGGTTAGCAGAGGCGCGGCTATCCCCCTCCTCTCTCTCTCTCTCTCTCTCTCTCTCTCTCTCTCTCTCTCTCTCTCTCTCTCTCTCTGTCTCTTTCGCACATGAGCTAGCTCACTCACTCATATGACCTCCGTACTCGCCTCCGTATGCATAAGCGTACCGTGTGAGGTTTGATATGTTGGCTGCCGGACTCATCTCTGTTAGATCGTGAGCCTTATTTGTCAGAAGGAGGTCCCGGCCCCGGCCCCGGCGCCGCCCTCGGCGAGCAGAGCAGGCACTCACGTCGGCTCACGCTCAGCGGGGGGTTTCATTCGCCGCCAGTCGGGGCAGAGCCCGGGCAGAGCAGTGAGCCGTGGGGGCCTCTAATCGCCCAAGCCAAGTTTATAACAGCTTTCTGCCCGGCCCGGACGGCGCAGGACAAGGGCACACCGCAGCAAGCCGGGTCTGAGGGCGCTCAAGGGTGTGCGGCGCTCAGCCGGTGAGGGCTGAGGGCTGAACGTGGTCGAGCCACCACCCCTCGCCCTCCAACCCTTCCTCTCACTCTCTCTCCCTCTCTCATTGTTCATCTAGCGACCTCCCATACACCCTCCCCTCCCCTCATCTCTCTCTCCCTCCCATTTCCCTCTCTCCAAAGCAGCGACTCCTTTCCTTGCTTCCCCTCCTCTACCACGAAACATTAACACATGCCCACACACACGCATTCACACAAAAAACCTAAACCAAAAAGAAACAATCCTACCAACAACAAAAAACAGACGCGAAACACGCAACGCGAAACACGCACGTGCGGAGAGCCTCCTGCTCACACTCGTGTGCGGGCGGCGGGCACAAGAGAGCCCCGTGGGGGCTTATGGCGTTTGGGAGGGTGCGAGAGAGACAGGCGACAACCTGGGCCTTTCGCCCATCTTCATCCCTCTCCGTCTCACCCACGGACGGACCCGCAGAGGCGCGCGTTTGTCTCTCTCGCACTTATGGTTCGACGCCAGTGAGGTGTGAACCCGGCCGGGAAGGCGCGGGCGAGCAGAAGGGGAATGGGTGGGAAGGAAGGCAAGGAGGCGGCAACAGGAGCGGTCCGCCACCCCGCCCGCTCCGCTCCGCCGCGCACCGCCCCGCCTCGCCCCGCCACGCGGCGGTAACTAGGACCCGCGGACCGCACAGAGGATTGGATTCCAGGCCGAGCAAAGAGGATGGCCAAATCGACCAGGCAGGGTGCGGCCGTCAAGCGCACGCTCCGACAACCACTGCTGCTGCCGCCGCCGCTGAGCCGCGTGCCCGCTCGTAAAAGTTTCATTTTCGTTATTTCCATCTAGAGCAGAGGCCTGCTCATGGAGGAAATATACTTCCTCCATACGAGCCTGCTGGTGTGCGCGAGGGAGGCTGTCGGCTGACGGCAGCTGACGAGGACTGCGACTGCGAAGCGACAATCGCCCTCTGTCCTCCTACCCCATCACGGTGGGCCAAAGCCGGGGCCAAAGCACAGTTACCCCCCCCCCCCCTCGTGCTAAAACCGCTAAAACATCATTTGAGCCTCAGCCGCACCTGCTGTAGACACCCGGTGGCTGATTTACGCCACACACTTCTGTAAGGCGGGCTTGCCTATCGCCCCTGTACACGGCGCCTTACGAGCCGAGCGAGTAGGCAACCCGCCCGCAATCGTGCGTGCGGTACAGTATACCTACAGAAGTGCACGGAGTGAATCGGCCACCTGGTACATGCCCGCGTATACAGGGTAGTCCACAGATCTCTGCCTTCATTTGCTTATGCTGGACTGCTTGCAGGCTCGCGGGCGCGGGTTGCATACTCGCGCGGCAGGCGAAAACGCCCCGGGGTGATCGACGGTGTACGCAAACCCCCGCCGACACGCCTGCATTCGGTTACGGTAGAGTGTAAGCAAAATAGAGGAAGGGGTCTGTGGACCAGCCTGCAGATTCGAAGAACACAGTTAAACAATATCTCTAGATCGTACTATAGTAGGAGTTTTTGAAGAGTCCGGGAGGAGAAGGGTGTGGTGGCGGAGCAGGGCCGCAGGCTCACGGTGGTGGTCGCCGTCAGCTTAGCCAAGGACGCGGGCTGCGCGCGCTCATCTCCGGGTCGCCCGGGTTGCGCCCCCCCCCCTCCCTCTCCCCCCTTTCCGGCTCCACCAGACTCATTCCGTATGTCCTTTGACGGACGGCCGTGGAGCGAATTCAATCTCTCTCTCTCTCTCTCTAGAAAACAACTTGGGGCTGGGCTGGGCTGGCGGGCGGCACCTGCGCTCGCTAGCAGGCCCGGGGGGACCCACCCGCGCCCCGCGGACGACCAGAGCGCACGTTTTATTCGGATCCCGGTACACCTCCGGCAAAAGAAAGAATGGGTGGCGAGCTTAATCATGTGATGGGATTGGGCCTCGAGGTGGTCCTCCTGGGAGCCACCCGGGCGTTGCCGCCCGGCTTCGATCTCAAAGCCGGCTGGAGCTTGCGCACTCTTCGTCGCGAAACAGCGCGGGATGGCTAGGGAGAAAAATTGAGGGGGGGGGCACCCCAGAAAACCAAACGCGTTGCTAGACGTTGTAACAACCAACGGGGATGTTATCCCGATTAACACCGCTGTCAGTTCGTTCTTCGAGGTCCCAGTGCGCGATTGACATTTCCCTGCTCGGAGACAGGTAACGAGCAATCACACCGGGGGTCCGTGTGGGGCTTGCCTCTTACCCGCAGCCTAAGGTATCCTCTCCGCCGGCACACTGACACACTGCTGGGAGGAGAGCGGGCGGGCGCGGGACCGCGACGAGTCGAGAGAACGAGCCGGACGAGGCGGGCCGCGCGGCTGCGGAGCGGGGCGGGCGGTGAAGCGCGCACCGGCACCAGCGACGAGCGACTGGCGGCGCTGCCGGCCGGGGGGAGCCAGCCGCACCGCGCCAGCCCAGCCGCGCCAGCCGGCCGAGCCGGAGCGGGAGGGCGGAAGGGAGAGGAAGGGGCGCTGAGCCGGGAGAGCGAGAGGGAAGGGGGGAGGGTGTGTGTGTCGGGGATGCTGCGCCGCTCTGCCGCCCTGCCGCCGTAGTCGTCCCGGAGAGGGTCCAGAGGGTTGAGACCGCAGAGAGAGAGAGAGAGAAAGAGAGAGAGAGAGAAAGAGAGAGAGAGAGGGGGGGGAGGACGGAGGAACTGACTACCAACAACGTGTCCGAGGTGAACCGACCCCCCGGTGTGCGGGTGGCGGTGAGGGTGCGCCTCATGATGCCTCAGCTCATGCCTCAGCTGGCGGCGGCGGCTGCCCGCCGACATGAGAAGAAGTTGGGTAATTAAAGGGTCTAAAAATGGGCGTTCTGTTTCAGATGAATTTGACAGTTGTTTCGTCCGGTTCATCTATGGGGGAGGGGAACGGGAGCTTGGCGCCTGCGAGACTCAGGGTAGGCCACCCGCTGGACGCGCACGCGCAGCAGGGAAGGCGTTGCCTACCTGCCAGGCGCTAAAGGGGGTTTGCTTGGCTTGGGCTGAACTTAGCAGTTTCGTGACGGACTTGCTTTCTGGATGATCCATAACGCGAGCGATAGTTCGAGGACTAACGATTTATATTTTCAGATTACGGACCTTAAGCTAAGAAATTAAAATTTCCACCGACCCTAATAAACATTTGATATCGACTAATTTTTAGTTTCATTTAACCCTTTACCCCGCGTACTGTCGTCACGGCCGCGGTAGCAACTTTAAAAACCTCAAAGCGGAGCAGAGAAACGACGTATAAACTTCCCCACGCAGCGCGGCAGAGGCGCCACTCGGGGCGCCTGCTCGCTGGTGGCGGGGCGGGCGGGGCCGGAGCAGGAGGGCGAGTCGCCCTCGGTGCGAGAGGTGAGTTACCCTCGGCCTCGCCCAACCAAACCACCACCACTAGCAGCAGCAGCAAGAGTTCCACCTCGAAATGACGGCACGACGGCTCGGCCAGGGCAGGTCGCAGATTGGGCAGGGGCAGGACCCACTCTCCTCGGCGTCCTTTCGGCTGCTCCGGCTGCGGCCGTATCCTTTGTAGCATTTTGCTTCGCCCGGCTCGGCTCCGCCCCGGCGCACTGGCATGAGCGAACGCTCTGGAGCTCACTGTGAGCCCTGGCGGGGGCGGGGGCCTGGCGGCTCATGTCCGCGGCACAACAAATGGAGGGGATTCTGGATCGGGCCGAGTTGTTCGTATTTTTTTCCTCCTTCGTATTTTCCCCCTTTTCTCTTTCTCACTCCCTCGTGGCGCTCCGGGGGGTGGCGCCCCCTAGAGAGAGAGAGAGAGGGGGGGGGGGCGAGAAGTGCACGAGACAAAAGGCCCCCACGGAAGCGGAAGCCGCGGCAGAGACTTCTGGCTGGAACGTATTGCCGGGCGCCGCGCGGCTACGCCAAAAACAAGAGAGGAATTTACGATTGCATCGAATAAGACGGCTTCAAGCGGCAGCGGGGGAGGGGAGGGGTGGGGGCTGACGGGCGGCGGCGGGAGGGTGATATGTGCGCGGGCAGCAGCAGCGGCGGCATTGTCCGGCCATCCCCTACCAACCACCACCTCGCCGGCCACCGCGGGCTTAAATCAGGGACAAAACTTCCACCCGGCGCAAACAAGCCTGCCCCAGAGAGGCTCTCGCAGCCGGGGCGAGCCGGGCGGACCGGGTGCGGAGCGGAATAATTGAGTAAACGAATTTGGTTCGGCGAGTAATTGCTGCTGCCGGTTCCTGGTGGTCTGGCCGCGGCTGGGTAGGCCTCCCTGCCGTTCTGCAGAGCGCCGGTGTGTGTTGGGTTGCCTACCCGTCGCTCCGCAGGCGGCCGGCAACGCTGGGCGCGGGCGCGCTCTCCTTTGTGGCAGAGAGTACAGAGATAGTCACCCACGAACCCCCCCC